GGGATCCAGGGGCAGCCCCAGCTGCTCTGGCAATCCCAGCCCAGCCAGGAATTCCTCATTCCCAATCTCCCATCCCTGGCTGCCCTCTGGCAGTGAGAGCCATTCCCTGGGTCCTGTCCCTCCAGACTTTTCCCAAATTTCAGCTCTCCTGGAGCCCCTTCAGGGCCTGGAATGTGCTGGAAGCTCTCCCTGGATCCTGCCCTTCTCCAGGAGAACATTCCCAGCTCTCCCAGCCTGTCAGGATCCATGTCAATCCGAACACTCCGCATATTCCATTGGAATCCAACTTTCCACGATCCCTTTCCACCCAAAGCAGTGCCTGGATCCAGTCCCTGAACCATTCCTTGGATTTCCCACTGGAAAACCATTTCCCCCCCACTTTCCAAACTCCAGCCCTGTCCTGTTCCCACCATTCCCATCCTGCACGGATTTGGGACACTGCAAATCCCACGGGAACATCCCAAGTTCCTCCTCCAGCCTGGAAAATCCCTAAAGCACCAACAAATCCAGGGAAACTCCTGAAATCCCGGTTTGTTCTCCACGGGATGGAGCAGCCATAATTCCAAGGGGATTCACCGGCACTGGGACTCTGGATCTCTCAGGATCCACATCTGGAGAATTCCAGATCCTCCTGATCCACACCCGGGGAGCTCCTGGAAGCTCCCGATCCACACCTGGAGGACACTGGGATCCCTCTGGATCCACACGCAAAGAACCTCTGGAAGTTCCATGACCTGGAGGAGTCTGGATCCTCCTGCTCCATACCCAGTAGAATTCCAGAATTCCCGGGCAATTCCCAAAGCTCCTGGGGAAGGAGTGGAATTCCACGAGGAGCTCACCTCGATCAGAAAGTCCCCCGTGCGCAATCCCGCTCTCCAGGCGACTCCTTCCACATCCACGGATTCCAGGTACTGCAGCGCTGGGAATGCCGGCGTGGGCGTGAACTCCTCGATCGGGGTCTCGGCTGGAAAACACAACGGGAAGGGGAGTTGAGGGATTTCCAAGGGAATTCCATTCGGGAAGGCTCAGCCCGTCCACAGCGATCCTAAAATCATGGAATTATGGAGTTGGAAAAGCCTTGGAGCGGAGCCATTCCCAGCAGTGCCAAGGCCACCGTCGATCCGTGTCCCCATGTGGACAATCCACATGGATTGGAATCCCACCCCTCGTCCTGGCCCTGCTCCCACCTCAGTGATGGAATCCAAGGTGGAATCAATATTGGAATCCAATATGGCATCAATCATGGAAATAATAATGGAACTAATAATGGAATCGGTGATGGAATCCAAGAGGGAATCAATATTGGAATCAATCATGGAATCAATGAAGGAATCCAAGATGGAATCAATTATGGAATCCAAGATGGAATCAATTATGGAATCCAAGATGGAATCAATGATGGAACTAATAATGGAATCAATGCTGAAATCCAAGACGGAACCAATATCGGAACAAATAATGGAATCAATGAAGGAATCCAAGATGGAATCAATAATAGAATCAATAATGGAGTCAATCATGGAATGAATAATGGAATCAATGCTGGAATCAATGATGGACTCGATGGAATCAATAATGGAATGAATAAAGGAGTCAATGCTGGAATCCAAGACGGAATCAATAATAGAATCAATAATGGAGTCAATCATGGAATTAATAATGGAATCAATGCTGGAATCAATGATGGAATTCATGATTGAACCGATGATGGAAATAATGGAGGAATCCAAGATGGAATCAATAATGGAATCCAAGATGGACTCAATTATGGAATGCAAGATGCAATCAGTAATGGAACTAATAATGGAATCGGTGATGGAATCCAAGATGGAATCAATATTGGAATCAGTCATGGAATCAATGAAGGAATCCAAGATGGAATCAATGATGGAAGTAATAATGGAATCAGTGCTGGAATCCAAGACGGAATCAATATTGGCATCAATCATGGAATCAATAATGGAGTTAATAATGGAACTAATAATGGAATTAATGCTGGAATCCAAGATGGAATTCAAGAAGGAACCAGTGATGGAAATAATGAGGGAATCCAAGATGGAATCAATGATGGAAATAATAATGGAAGTAATAATGGAATCAATGCTGAAATCAATAATGGAATCAATAATGGAATCAATAAAGGAAGCAATGCTGGAATCCAAGATGGAATTAATGAAGGAATCAATAAAAGAAGCAATGATGGAATCAATGCTGGAATCAGTAATGGGATCCAAGATGGAATAAAAAATGGAACCAATAATGGAATCAATAATGGAATCAATCATGGAATCCAAGATGGAATCAATGATGGAAATAATAATGGAACTAATAATGGAATCAATGCTGAAATCAATCATGGAATCAATAATGGAATAAATAAAGGAAGCAATGCTGGAATCCAAGATGGAATTAATGAAGGAATCAATAAAAGAAGCAATGATGGAATCAATGTTGGAATCAGTAATGGAATCCAAGATGGAATAAAAAATGGAACCAATAACGGAATCAATCATGGAATCAATCATGGAATCAATCATGGAATTATGGGTTGGAAAATCCCTTGGAGAACATCAAATCCAACCATTCCCAGCACTGCCGAGGCCACTCCTGATCCATGTCCCCAAGTTCCACATCCACATGGATTGAACCCCACCAGGAACGGGGATTCCACACGCATGCCAGGGCTGGAAAAGCCTTTCCAGGAGGGAATTTTCCCATTATCCAACCTGGAGATGCCCTGGAAGTCCTTGAGGTTGTGTCCCCTTGTCCCGGCCCTGCTCCCACCTCAGCGATGGAATTCAAGATGGAACCAAGGATGGAAATAATGAAAGAATCCAAGATGGAATCAATGATGGAATCCAAGATGGAATCAAGAACGGAGCTAATAATGGAATCAGTCACGGAATTAATGGTGGAATCTAAGATGGAACCAGTGATGGAATCCATGATGGAATCAAAAATGGAATCAGTGATGGAATCCAAGATGGAATCAGTGA